TTTGTTTTGTTTCGTTTCTCTTCTGATCTCTTGTAAAATTAATAGTTATCTCAATCATAAAAACAACCGCAGCAGATGAATGATACACAATGAAGCAGGAGAATTATTATGATCCAAAACATGGAAAGAGGCGAAACAAAGAAAGTCGGTAGAAAAAGAAAGAAGGATAATTACAGGAATAAAGGGAATATTGTTGAAAAATTATTTCCGGTAGATTATTGATTACGAATCTCTACTTTTTAGAGAGATTTGATATCTCTATATTTAGAGATTTTAAATCTCAAAACTTAAATTCGGATATGCTAATTGTGGAAAAAAACAAGACTTTTATTTAAATCATTAGATTCAATAAATCCATATTCTATATCCTGTTTTCCAAACCACCCCTTAGAGATACATATAGCATAGAAAGAGGAAAAATAACGCACGTACTTGGCTAGATCCATATTCTCCTTCTTGACTTGGCCACCCTTCATGTATCTTGGATGAATGTGAGGTTGTTTGATGAATATTTCTACCAAAACCCCTCCAAGATCGTGCCTTTCTTTACATCATCACCATAGTCTATTTTTCACTCTCTAGTATGCCCCCTTTGTCAAATAATAAGATTACGATCGTGATTTTTATGCTTCTGGTCAATATCTCAAGAAAGGGGGAGTTCACGACCGTGATCTAAAATGTTATGGTTATGAAAACTCAACTATATATGGGGTAGGTCACGACAATAATTTTGGTTGTGATCTACCCTTTTGGATGTGCCTCTTATATTCCCTCTTGTTGCATGCTAGAAATATGATAAGAAAACACAGTCTAGAATATAATGTAATAAGAATGACCAAAGTAGGAGGCAATGGTGAAGAAATGGCTGAAATCTGTTAAGTTCTAAATGTCACCACTTAATTACAATTAGCACAATATCAATATAAAATAGCAAAGTATAATAATTACGTCATCTAAACGCCTTGAAAAATGGACTTGAAGATGCATATATTGACTATTGTGTTATCACAAACACGGAACCAAATGTCCTACCTTACTTACAGTATAAGGGTGTGTAGTGTATAGGATAGGGTGCATAATCAAGGCATAACTAGATATGGGTTCTCACTTTTGAGTAGGCTCAGAAAAATCAAGATCTAATAGATGAGAATTTATAATTTTTTATTTTTCCTAGTTTTCTTAATCGCCTTTCATTTTCTTAGTTCTAACTACCATTTTAATTTTTTTGTATAGATAAAACGAATTCGTTGTGATCTAGAAAATTAGATACATTTTCAATTTCGACAAAAAATTTCATACCATTCATTAACACTTTTGCACCACCTTCGTTTTTATCTTGAATTTTGAAAAAATTTGCATAGAATGAACGAGTTCATTGTGATCTACTGTATTTAAAAATTTATATGGAAATAAATATAGGGCCAAAATGTACCACCTCATACCACCTTGGTACATGGATGGTAACTGATGGTAAACAATGATGAATGTGGTAAATAGTAGTTCGTATATTCCTACTATCATGTATTCAACCATCCTACAATATAATATGTTCATACCACCATGATACACTTTTATACCACTTGGTACGATCTTATGCAATACCAAGCATGACTACCATGGTAAATATAACCATTTTTTATATCATTTTGAAGAGCACAATTAATTTGATTTATTTGTGCAAGAAAAAAAATAGGACTTTAAACGAAAGAGATATAGCCCTTCAATTTTTATATGGAAAAATTTTAGAGCCGTGATGATATAGCAGATTATGCTTGATTATTGAACTTGACTATACGATTACTGATAAGAACTAGTGATGGCAGGGGGCTGGGGGCAGGTACCTCAATATCCATGCCCAGGGGCGTAGCCATGATTTTGTTCAAGATGGGCCCATTTAGAACGAAAAAAATACAAACAATAAAATAATTTTGTTAGCTTTTTAAATCATTAATCATATAAGTTTTTATTTATAAAACTTGGTTAATTAAATATATTTTGAAACAATTAAGAATATCACTCTATATGTATCAAACAATTATTCATGATTTTAGTTACACATTTGTATTTGAACGTTTTTCTTTATTAAGAGCGTTTAGTTGCAATAATTCGAGTTGTTGGGAATATTTAATAATGAATCTTATACTACTTAGTATTTACTAACACTTCCAACTAGAAGTGCCCTAAATTTCATTCTCAACTAACTATTTCATACTAATTTCCTCAATTTTGTCATTAGGAGTCATCGGTTACACTCTCCCTTCCTCTTATTGGAATACAATTATTTTGGATAAATTGCAAGTTTGGTCACTGGAATTACTAAAATATTTCACGTTTGCCACTAAAATTAGTTTATTTCATTCCCGGTCACTAAGATTGGTTCAATAGTTCAAGTTTGGTCACTCTCCGTTAGCCTCCGTTAAGTTTTTCTGATGTGACAGTTAACTTTGATAGTTGACCGTTAAATGAGTGACATGGCTATTAAAAAAATTAATCTTTTAAAATTTCCACCTCACTATATATAAATAAAATAAAATAAATAGGAAAAATAATTATAATTATAAAAATTATATACAAATCATTCGCCTCACTTTTTACCAGACTCTCACATTTGCATAGGAAAAGAAAGACATGCGGCGCCCAAGCCTTGACGGCGACGACTGGACTACAGGTCCGACAATGAAGAGGGATAATGGATTTGGCAAAGGGTTAATACCTTGTTATGGCCTGAACTATGATCATGTAATCAATTTTGGCTAGTGGTTTGAGAAATTAACATCCTGGCCCGAACTATGCAGCATATAGACAAAATTGGCCTAGAGCGTGGTTTGACCGTTTGTTTGGACGGTCAACACCGTTGACTGTTAGTCAACTGTCCAGGTCACTGCCATGTCAACATAAAAAAATTACAATTTCATTTTTCTTTTTATTTCATTTACAAAATTGAATAATTAAAAAAAAATTACAATTTCGTTTTTTCAAACCCAGATCCCGACTCCGCGTTCAAAAACTAGATCCATTTCAACCCTACATTCTCTACACTTCACCAGCGAGCTCAACAACTCCAGAGCTGTCTCTAGCCCAGTCACACCGTCGATGTCTTTAGGGTTGCTTTTGCAGATCTTCAGCATGCTATCTGGATATGTGAACTGGAGCGAATGGATTCTGATTTCGTAACCAAACAGCCTGTAGAAGAACAGAGACCGAAACTCAAATCAGATGGAATTCCTAACCAAACCCCAATCATCGAGTCGGAACCACTCGAAATCCAATCCCTTCCCCCACCGCCATGTCCCCTGCTGTTAACCGCCGCCGTCGGCATATACCTTCCCCAGTCGGGCCAGATCCCCTCCTAGAATCCATGCGACCAGCGCTACCGCCTGACTTCAATTCCACACATGGTGGGGATTATCCGTCTCCAACAACAGTGCTGCCCTCATCTTCTTCGGCGGCACCTCGAATTGGGGCTCACCAGAAAGAACATCAATTGGGAGTGGAAGGAATATCGCGACGCCGAGAACTTCCTTTCGTACTTCATCCGCTTCATTGCTGCTCTCAGCTGCATTGATGGCTCGTCGTCATCAATGCCATTGTTGTTGCTTTGATGATCTGGTTCCAGCACATGCTCTTCGTCGGGGAAGAAGGGATTTGTTTTCGTTTAGGATATGGAGGCGGCTCGTCAAGGAAGAAGGAGGAAGAAGATGGAATAGGGTTTGTTTGGGTTTGATCGAAAAGGAAAGAAGGTGAGAGGATAAGGTGGGGATGGGTGGGACAAAAGTTTTATTTTTTTTTTAATTATTCAATTTTGTAAATGAAATAAAAAGAAAAATGAAATTGTACTTTTTTATGTTGACATGGCAGTGACCTGGATAGTTGACTAACGGTCAACGGTGTTGACCGTCCAAACAAACGGTCAAACCACGCTCCAGGCCAATTTTGTCTATATGCTGCATAGTTCGGGCCAGGATGTTAATTTCTCAAACCACTGGCCAAAGTTGATTACATGGTCATAGTTCAGGCCATAACAAGGTATTAACCCTTTGGCAAAAGGCAAAGATTTAGAGTCCGCCACCGAATCTCCTCTAATTTTGAAGATGGTGAAGCAATAGGCATCTCTCCGTTCTCCGAAACAAGGTCGCATCTCTTTGTGTTCCAGGCATCACGCAAACGCGAGATCTGCCGCCGTGACGAGCCTCGATTCTGCACTGCAGTCGATTCTGCACTGCAGTCGAGCCCAGGACCCACCCTCTATCCCTCTCCCTCCGCCCCTGCACATGTCCCTGCACATGTCCCCCCTCCCCCATGCTACTGCGGGTAGGGGAGGGTAATACCCGCGCGGGTACGGGGCGGGGGAGGGGGTCGACTCACTCTTACATGTTATAAGAAAAAATATACGCAAATTTTTACTTTTTACAATAAAATGAAGAAGAATACATTTATGAATGAAAACTCGTGATAATAAAATCGGTAATCGAGTCTAATTAGTTGAATGATCGACTCTTACTAGTTGAAGAACGGTGAAAATAGGAGAAATATAACTAAATACTATAAGAAATTGAAATGAACAATGAATGAGACGGGACAGGAGAGATAAGAAATTGATATACGTGCCCCCACCCCATAGTACTGCGGGTCGGTTAATACCCACTTCATTACTTGCCAGATCGAATTTCACTAAATAAGGGGATTCAAATTTTCATTCCTAATCAGAACTGCTCTTGGTGGGTGTGTAGCCTGTAGACAAGGAAAGATCATTATTAGCCTAGTCAAAGGAAACGTTATAATTAGGGATGACAATCATACCCACCGCCGCGGGTACCAGACCGCCTCCGACCCAATCAACGCGGAGAATATCCGCATTGACTGGGTATGGGGCGGGTATGGGTAAAACCCGCGAAGAATCTGATGGGTATGGGGCGGGTTTGGTTTTAGGTCCCCCGTCCCATACCCATACCCATATCCAACCCGTCAAACTTATTTGTTATATGCTATAAATACAAGTACCTGTTTGTAAATTGTTAATGACATGAAGAGTAAATAAAAATAATATAGATGACTAAAAGATAATTTGTCTTATCAAAACCTAAATCAAACACCATCAGCCAGCCATTTCAATTCCATATTTCCATCCGCCCGCAACGCAGCCGCCAGCCGCTCTTCTCCCAAACTCCCTGCTGCTGCTCGTCGACGTCGACTTCTGCTGCCGGCCAGCCGCCGCCCTGGAACTCTTTCTTCTTCCTGTTCCTGGCCTCCGACCTCACCATTCAATCCCGTCGCTGGCGCGCCGCGCAGCTCCACGCGCAGTTCTCGTCGCCGCGCAGTTCGTCACCCAGATCCCGTCGCCGGCGCGCGGCCCAGCTCTACGTGCAGTTCCCGTCGCCCAGATCCCCTCGCCGGCGCGCCACCCAGTTCGTCACCCAGTCCCGTCGCCGCAGTCATTCTCGTCCCCACCCAGCGACGGCAAAAAATCGGCGGCCAAAATTCAACCAGGTAGATTTAAGATGTTGATTCTGAAGATGAATGATGTCCAAATTTGATCTTTTAGAGACTATTAAACAAAGGATTTGATGTTTTTTCGTATTAAGAATGATTGTACCTTGTTGATTTCATAATTTATTTGGTTGTCTTAGTGTTATAATTGAAGAATGCAGGTTGTTTATTAGGTGTAGAAGTAATGCATACATGGGGATGGGTATTACCCATGGGTACCTGAAACCCGCGGGTATGGGGATGGGTATGCAAATCCTCCACCTGCATGGGTATGGGGCGGGAATGGGTATGGGTATATGGAAATGGGGATGGTTTAGGCAAACCCGCCCCAAACCCGCCCCTTTGCCATCCCTAGTTACAATTGCTATCGGTTTCTTTTTAAAGTTTTGTAAAATCATTTATTACTGTAAGGAGGAGAATCATTCCATTGGAGGAAACAATAATTGTCATAAACCACTTTCCAAATGTCTTATAGACAAATATAGTATTTTTTAACTATCCCTCCCTATATAAAGAGACGACGTGCTCATCATCCTGTATATTGCCAATTGAAGTTTAAGAGAGAAGGCAAAAGATCTCCTCCATCAAGGAAGTACTGTTGGTTCTCGAGCATAATGGCAAAGGCTTATTTCAAGTTATTCTGCATCATGGTTTTAACTCTTTTACTTTTTGGTACGTATATTTTACCTTTTCATCTTAGTTTTTATATTTTTCTTGTGAACAAATCCAGAGGTTTATTGTTTGTTTGTTAATGAAAATAAAATTGAGCACTGTAGGTGGTGAGAGTAATAATATTGGAGTGGAAGGTATCAACTTCAGCGTACCTTGCAAAACTGATGCTGATTGCAAGGCCCCACCGGGAGCATGTGCTTGCAACGTTGAAATCGGCCACTGTTTCTGCCCACCACCCAAACAAGAGCCGAATCCAGAGAATTCCAAGGGCGTCTATGAAGGCAATTAAATCACATGGAAGATAGAGTTCAGTATTATGCATGAGCAGATCTCAAAATAATTCATGTGTATTCATGATCAGGCAAACAATAAAATAAAACTTTTGGAGTAGCACTTTCCTTTAAACCAGATTCATACCTCTGCTTGCTTCTATCTCAATTTTTATCATAGAAGTAGTCTCTTCCAATATTTTTGAAGTGATTGATGTATAAGCAAAAATCGTTAAAGATAAATAGTAGCGAGATCGAACGTGGATAAAGATAAATAGTACCTTGCAAAACACTTGTTAGTAGCTACTCAAGGTAACTCATCCATAAAGGTGACTCCATCAGTCCATTTATCATACCAACATGATTAACACGAGCATGTTTCCATAGTTTTTGTTTTAACTTGATAACATGTGCCCATGGACTGCAACATGTAGCACCACGAGACAAACCATTCCCCCACTCAGACATTGGATTAAGAAACTTCAACTAAACGAGTTTTCTCCATCATGGATTCTTCAGCTAGCGCCAAACCATCTTGCATAATGCAGTCTGATTGTGTATGATCCTTTATTCCTAGTCCTCCCAAATCGATTGGTGCTTGACATGTTTCTCAAGCAACCAAATGCATCTTCTTCGTTTATACTCGTGTACCTAACCAAACAAAATCACATTGCATATTTTCCATGGTTGTTCAGACATTTGGGTGCAAGAAACGGGCGCCCATATTAATGAGCCCTAGATAGGGTCTCAGAAGATCAGAATCGCACAACCATGATTTGAATTGGGTTCAAATCGAAATTCTTCAAGAACAGGGTCGGTTTGTGGTTTTGGGATGGAAGATTTTGTGCAATTCTCACATGGAAGAAATGCTCGATCTCTGTAGGTAGAGGCTTGGCTACGAGCAACGTGATGATCGAGCTGGTCGATACAAGCTAATCAATTGCCTAGAATCCTTCTAAGCAAGCACTCAATTCGCCAAGCCAACAAGCAAGATGAATCAAAGCTTTAGTTTGTATTGGAATGGTCCAAAACTTAGAATTACAACGAATAATTGAACTTAAGTAGACTCTAGCTAACCCTAGCAACTCATAAGGAAATTCTCAACGCAATACAACTCGGAAAAGGAAAACGAAATCAACACAAACACGAAATCAAACTACAAACAGCCAACTAGTCCTAATCCGAACAGGATTCAGATTCCCTCAATTCCAAAGGCAGAAAACGAACTTGATGTGGTACGAAGACCTAGTCTCGACTCTCAACCAATCTCCTCGAATGAAGCCTCAAAGTGTGGTACCCGAATGGTCTGCCATACTTAGAATAATTATGGGAGATTGCCAGTTTCAGCTGCCACTTTTGCACATCCTGAAAAGTACCCTTCTGAACTCCCAATTTAGCTCCAAATCATGTCAACGTGTAGAGGGGGTACTCCCACATCAAAACAAGCCCTCACATGCCCATTTCCATAAAGCTAACAAAAAGTTCCATACATCCAAAGTTGGCTTCCAGAAACTGTAAAAAGACTTATGAAAAAATTTAGTGTTCTTCAGAGTGATTGGATATCCTTCTTGAACAATAGTTCCAGCTGGGTTAATGGCCAATTGCAGATCATATCAGTCCCTCCCACATAAAAAAGGTTTGACCTCAAAGCTTTGGTCTTCCTTGCTTCAAACGCTTCAGCAAATCGATCTTAAATCGAATAGAAAGAGACCCTCCCAAACTGCCACTCATAGAAATTTATGGCTCTGTTCTTCATGTCCCGAATTGGGGCTTTCGAATTTCCAGTTTCCAGCAGAATTCACCCCAACCATCGTCTTCGTCATGGTTAGAATTGAGTTTCTGGGTAGCTTTTATGTCTCGACTCGTCGTCAGCTTTATCGAATGGACGATTGTACTTTTCCCTCCATTGTCGACACTCAAACGTTGCCACCCAGAAAACCCAATTCTAAATTGGGCATTTTTGTTTCAGGGATCTCCGGGTCTAATTGATTGATCCTAGAGTTCTCGTGATCACATTGAATGATTCTGCAACAGGAGACTGAATTGAATCACTCCCAAGTTCCCCAACCCATTCACACGATTTTTCTTCGGGTTCTGGAGGTTTAAGAGCACCTTCTGGTCGAATTTGATGCTGCAATCCACATGACTTCTTTCCAATCCCCCCATCATTTGAGTTTCTAGAGATGATTTGGAACGTATTAGCAATGTCCTCCTGGTTCGAATCTCCTCCCACTAGTCTCACCAATAGACCCTCTCTCCTGCCCTACTTCGGCGAGACACAACATCATCGTTGATGCGGAGTTTGCTTCTTCTTGAGCCCAGTGAGGATCTTCTTCTTGATCGCTCTGCACTTCCTCCTGCGCCAATGGTTTGAACACAAATTTCTTTCCTTGGTGCCAGACCTTGTACTGGTTCGTCCATCCATCATGGCTGACACCCTGATCATATTGTTAGGGTCTTCCGATCAAAACGCGAGCTGGCTACTTTGGAGCTACATCAAATTCCAACTCGTCCCTGTATACTCCGATCTTAAAGCCCACTTTCTCTCATTTAGTCACTCGAATTGCTCCGTAGTCGTTGAGCCAGTGTAGGTTGTAGGGCTCTGGGTGGCGCAACATGCTTAATACAAGCTTGTCGATGGCATCCTGTCTGAGGACGTCGACGCAGCTCCCACCGTCGATGATGAGCGTCAGCAACTTCCCATTCACCTCACATTGTGAGTGAAACAAGGTCTCTCTGACTGAGATCCGGAGAACTCTCCGCAGTAAGCGCTCGTTAACCTTCTCCTTGTCACTCGAGTCTGATTTCTTGCCGTCTATGACATACTCTCCATCTTTGAGAATCAGAATTTTCGGAGTATGACACTTACTAGCTTTGTGTCACCTTCCAAAACATTTAAAACACTGGATCCCTCCAGTTGAAGAAGCTGGAGTAGTGTGTCGGGTGGCTGGCTTAGGACCTTCCAGCCGTGACGGAGATAGTGGCTTCGATCGTTGATTCCGCTACAGGCATAGGACCTTCCAGCCGTGACGGAGACGAGGTAATTCTCCTTGACGTCTTTTGTTGCTTCTCGATTTTGATCGCGAGATGCAACACTTCCTCAAGATCCACAAAAGACCTAAGCTCCACCTCCTAGCGAATCTCCCGATTTAAGACATGAAGAAAATGCACAATCTTCGACTCTCGATCTTCCCTAACGTCGGCCTTCATCAACAAGATTTCCAGCTTGCGGAAGTATTCTTCCACTCCTCTTGGTCCTTGTCGGATCCCCTGTAAAGACTCGTACAATTTGCGCTGATAATAAGTCGGGACAAACCTGCCTCTCATTATCCTGCAGCTCTGCACAGGTTGTGACTTCCGACTGTAGATTCCTCCGCCGGCGAAGGTGTACCTGCTCCCACCATTGAGTAGTGTAATCGCTGAACTCATAATTAGCTAGGGCTACTTTATGTTGATTCGATTTAACGACCGCATTGAAAGAACAAATTGAAATTCCTTTCCCAATCGAGGTAAGCAGTTGCATTCAATGTTCCCTGAAACACTAACACTGTCAACTTGATTGCGGGAGGAACTGCCGACTCTGCTTCATGCTTATCGCGCCGCCCTCGATGCTGGTGATCGTGATTGGGTTCGACTACAACTAGCCACCGTTCTAGCTCCTCAATTACGCCCAGTAACTCCTGATCGCCCACTTGGTTTGTGTTTCCTTGAATTTCCCCTTCTCAGACTCTGTTTTCCGGCAGAGCGATTGCGTCAAATCTCTGATCGATTTCGCGCTTAAATTTGCCCAATTCATCCTGGAATCTTGCATCGATCTGGACCAAGAACTACTCCATGTCGAACTGATGTCCATCCATGGCTGGTTTGATTGATTGCGCCTCGATCTTGTCCTTTGACTCGTGCTCTGGTTTCTGGCGTATAACTTCAGGGTCGTCGGAAACAGAACCCTTCGACCTTGTCCAACGTGTTGCACCGCCAACGTGTTCCTCTGTCCTGTATACTGTGTATCAAACAAGGCTCTGATGCCACTTAATGAGCCCTAGATAGGGTCTCAGAAGATCAAAATTGCTCAGCCATGATTTGAATTGGGTTCAAATCGAAACTCTTCAAGAACAGGGTCGGTTTGTGGTTTTGGGATGGAAGATTTCGTGCAATTCTCACACGCGAGAAAGGCTCAATCTTTATAGGTAGAGGCTTCAACACGAGCAGCGTGATGAGCTGGTCGCTACAAGCTAATCAATTGCCTAGAATTCTTTTAAGCAATAACTCAATTTGCCAAGCCAATAAGCAAGATGAATTAAAGCTTTACTTTGTATTCGAATGATAAAAAACTGAGAATTACAACGAATAATTGAACTTAAATAGACTCTAGGTAACCATACCAACTCATAAGGAAGTTCTAAACTCAATACAACTCGGAAAAGGAAAACAAAATCAACACAAACATGAAATCAAAGTACAAACAGCGAACTAGTCCTAATCCGAATAGGAGCTAGTCCTAAAACGAATTTGATGGCCTTCATTCGATGCCTTCCAGGAATCAATGCAGTCACCCCACACCTTGTCTCTGAAGTATAAAACTTGTACTTTGATGCAGTGCGAACCCCTGGTCTCGACTCTCAACCAATCTCCTCGAATGAAGCATCAAAATGTGATACCCGAACTGTTTGCCATACTCAGAATAATTTTAGCAGATTTCCAGTGTCAGCTTCCACTTTTGCACAGCCTGAAAAGCACCCTTCTGAACTCCCAATTGACCTCCAAAGCATGTCAACGTGTAGAGGGGTACTCCCTCTTCAAAACAAGCCCTCACACGCCCATTTTCATCAAGACAACAAAAAGAGAAGATAGAAGCTTTTTCGCAGGCAAGCAGAAGAGAGAAGATGAAGGGACTGAGTGAGAGGTCAGATATATTTTGTTTCTTTTCTTGTTGGGTTTAAGCATGACGTAACCTATTTGACAGTTTCAATTTCATCCTCTCATTTAACCTGCTGGCACATTCCTCTTGATAAAGCACCAAGCGGGTGCTTTGTTTGATCAGATTACGCAGCTCGAAACTCTTCTACGAAAGATAAAACGGATGGTAGAATTCTCGCCACAACCGAGGTGATTACTCGATCGATAAGAGAGCTTGCCAACAATTCTGGAATCCACTCAGAATAGCTTCACATTGTTCTTGAAATTAGCTATGAAATCCA